TTTAACACTGTGTAGCATTTTTAGAGGTACTTTCGTCTAATTGTTGCATACATTGGCTCGATCACGCGTTTGAGAATATTCATGGGAAGAGTGTCGTTGCACTAATTATGGAAATACACATCTATACATTACAATGATGTGGTAAATTCAACAGAAGCAGTTTACAAAAGTTTCCATCCTGTGTGGCGCCATGACTGAAGCTAAATCACGCACAACGATGACGGTAGTTATCTGCATTTCTGACTAATTCTCTTTGTTACATTGGTAAACATGGTAAACAAATAACAGTACGCAGATTGTCAGAATGCTTCTGATTACTTACGTGACCCATTTATGTGAATACGATCCCTCAATCGACGAAAATCCTCCTCTGGAAATCCCGCGTACTGTTGTCAGTTAACACGCCATTTTGTAAAAGTCTGTCACCGGTAGTGATGTCATACGGAAGTAAACATTGTTGTACATATTTGGTAATTTCTTTGAGGTGTAAACTTTCAACTTGCCACCCAGCGTTTTCTTTGTTTTTGTCTGGTATGCATTTTCATCATCGCCTTGATAATCCAGATATGACGGAAACCTTTTTGTGTCGGGTCACATTATTTATGAGAAGTAAGCAGCACATAGGATGACGTCACTTATGACAGTGGTGTCGTGTTTAATGCGCTACTGCAATCATGACAAATTCATCCGTTTGATGCTAAAAAGGTGCTATTTTAGGGTGTGAAAGAACCAGATTACTGCACTCGTGCCTGTCAGATACCATTGATCTTACAACTCGTTGTTACAAAGCGTATCTAACGAGCGAAGCCAGTTAGATACGTTTTGAAACAACTTGTAAGATCAATGGTATCTGGCAGACACTCTTGTAGTAATCTCTATTTCCTACACAGTGATTCGGTTGCTTGCTTCAGGGAATTCAAATCATATTTTCAGCCTTTGACATTTGGTCATGTGACCCAAATTAGCCAATCACAACACAGAACACACTTTCGATAGGTTTACTATAGTTCCTATACATTGTTGTAGACATGACAGTCTACTGTAGATCAAGCAATAGTTCCTATACATTGTTGTAGACATGACACTCTAAGGCGGATCAAGCAATAGTTCCTATACATTGTTGTAGACATGACACTGTATGGTGGAGCAAGCAATAGTTCCTGTACATTGTTGTAGACATGACACTGCATGGTGGATCAAGCAATAGTTCCTATACATTGTTTTAGACATGACACTGTATGGTGGAGCAAGCAATAGTTCCTATACATTGTTGTAGACATGACACTGCATGGTGGATCAAGCAATAGTTCCTATACATTGTTGTAGACATGACACTGCATGGTGGATCAAGCAATAGTTCCTATACATTGTTGTAGACATGACACTCTAAGGTGGATCAAGCAATAGTTCCTATACATTGTTGTAGACATGACAGTCTACTGTGGATCAAGCAATAGTTCCTGTACATTGTTGTAGACATGAAACTGCATGGTGGAGCAAGCAATAGTTCCTATACATTGTTTTAGACATGACACTGTATGGTGGATCAAGCAATAGTTCCTGTACATTGTTGTAGACATAACACTGCATGGTGGATCAAGCAATAGTTCCTATACATTGTTTTAGACATGACACTGTATGGTGGATCAAGCAATAGTTCCTATACATTGTTGTAGACATGACACTGCATGGTGGATCAAGCAATAGTTCCTATACATTGTTGTTTACATGACAGTCTACTGTGGATCAAGCAATAGTTCCTGTACATTGTTGTAGACATGACACTCTAAGGTGGAGCAAGCAATAGTTCCTATACATTGTTGTAGACATGACACTCTAAGGTGGAGCAGGCAATAGTTCCTATACATTGTTTTAGACATGACTCTGCATGGTGGAGCAAGCAATAGTTCCTGTACATTGTTGTAGACATGACACTGCATGGTGGATCAAGCAATAGTTCCTATACATTGTTGTAGACATGACACTCTAAGGTGGAGCAAGCAATAGTTCCTATACATTGTTGTAGACATGACACTGCATGGTGGATCAGGCAATAGTTCCTGTACATTGTTTTAGACATGACACTGTATGGTGGATCAAGCAATAGTTCCTATACATTGTTGTAGACATGACACTCTAAGGTGGAGCAAGCAATAGTTCCTATACATTGTTGTAGACATGACACTGCATGGTGGATCAAGCAATAGTTCCTGTACATTGTTGTAGACATGACACTGCATGGTGGATCAAGCAATAGTTCCTATACATTGTTGTAGACATGACACTCTAAGGTGGAGCAAGCAATAGTTCCTATACATTGTTGTAGACATGACACTGCATGGTGGATCAAGCAATAGTTCCTATACATTGTTGTTTACATGACAGTCTACTGTGGAGCAAGCAATAGTTCCTATACATTGTTGTAGACATGACACTGCATGGTGGATCAAGCAATAGTTCCTGTACATTGTTTTAGACATGACACTGCATGGTGGATCAAGCAATCGTTCCTGTACATTGTTGTAGACATGACACTCTAAGGTGGAGCAAGCAATAGTTCCTATACATTGTTGTAGACATGACTCTGCATGGTGGATCAAGCAATAGTTCCTGTACATTGTTGTAGACATGACACTCTAAGGTGGAGCAAGCAATAGTTCCTATACATTGTTGTAGACATGACACTGCATGGTGGATCAAGCAATAGTTCCTATACATTGTTGTAGACATGACACTGCATGGTGGATCAAGCAATAGTTCCTATACATTGTTGTTTACATGACAGTCTACTGTGGATCAAGCAATAGTTCCTATACATTGTTGTAGACATGACACTGTATGGTGGATCAAGCAATAGTTCCTATACATTGTTGTTTACATGACAGTCTACTGTGGATCAAGCAATAGTTCCTATACATTGTTGTAGACATGACACTGCATGGTGGATCAAGCAATAGTTCCTGTACATTGTTGTAGACATGACACTCTAAGGTGGAGCAAGCAATAGTTCCTATACATTGTTTTAGACATGACACTGCATGGTGGATCAGGCAATAGTTCCTATACATTGTTGTAGACATGACACTGCATGGTGGAGCAAGCAATAGTTCCTATACATTGTTGTAGACATGACACTCTAAGGTGGATCAAGCAATAGTTCCTATACATTGTTGTAGACATGACACTGCATGGTGGAGCAAACAATAGTTCCTATACATTGTTGTAGACATGACACTGTATGGTGGATCAAGCAATACTTCCTGTACATTGTTGTAGACATGACACTCTAAGGTGGAGCAAGCAATAGTTCCTATACATTGTTGTAGACATGAAACTCTAAGGTGGAGCAAGCAATAGTTCCTATACATTGTTGTTTACCTGACAGTCTACTGTGGATCAAGCAATAGTTCCTATACATTGTTGTAGACATGACACTGCATGGTGGAGCAAGCAATAGTTCCTATACATTGTTGTAGACATGACACTGCATGGTGGATCAAGCAATAGTTCCTATACATTGTTGTTTACATGACAGTCTACTGTGGATCAAGCAATAGTTCCTATACATTGTTGTAGACATGACACTGTATGGTGGATCAAGCAATAGTTCCTATACATTGTTGTTTACATGACAGTCTACTGTGGATCAAGCAATGAGTTCCTGTACATTGTTGTAGACATGACACTGCATGGTGGATCAAGCAATAGTTCCTGTACATTGTTGTAGACATGACACTCTAAGGTGGATCAAGCAATAGTTCCTGTACATTGTTGTAGACATGACACTCTAAGGTGGATCAAGCAATAGTTCCTATACATTGTTGTAGACATGACACTGCATGGTGGATCAAGCAATAGTTCCTGTACATTGTTGTAGACATGACACTGCATGGTGGATCAAGCAATAGTTCCTGTACATTGTTGTAGACATGACACTGCATGGTGGATCAAGCAATAGTTCCTGTACATTGTTGTAGACATGACACTCTAGGGTGGAGCAAGCAATAGTTCCTGTACATTGTTGTAGACAAGACACTGCATGGTGGATCAAGCAATAGTTCCTATACATTGTTTTAGACATGACTCTGCATGGTGGATCAAGCAATAGTTCCTGTACATTGTTGTAGACATGACACTGCATGGTGGATCAAGCAATAGTTCCTATACATTGTTGTAGACATGACACTCTAAGGTGGATCAAGCAATAGTTCCTATACATTGTTGTAGACATGACACTGCATGGTGGATCAAGCAATAGTTCCTATACATTGTTGTAGACAGGACACTGCATTGTGGATCAGGCAATAGTTCCTGTACATTGTTTTAGACATGACACTGTATGGTGGATCAAGCAATAGTTCCTATACATTGTTGTAGACATGACACTCTAAGGTGGAGCAAGCAATAGTTCCTATACATTGTTGTAGACATGACACTGCATGGTGGATCAAGCAATAGTTCCTGTACATTGTTGTAGACATGACACTCTAAGGTGGAGCAAGCAATAGTTCCTATACATTGTTGTAGACATGACACTGCATGGTGGATCAAGCAATAGTTCCTATACATTGTTGTTTACATGACAGTCTACTGTGGATCAGGCAATAGTTCCTATACATTGTTGTTGGCATGATACTGCATGGTGAATCAAGCAATAGTTCCTGTACATTGTTGTAGACATGACACTGTATGGTGGATCAAGCAATAGTTCCTATACATTGTTGTACACATGACACTCTATGATGGATCAAGCAATAGCAGCCACATCTGTGTAATCTTTTATGAAAATTGGTAGTCTTTCAATGTAACTGGTCTCATTTTCATGGACAGTACATATATGTGGAACAAGAGAGGGTTTGAATTAATCTCTCCTGTCACTATGAAGTATTATATGTAGTTTGCTTGTACAATAATTGTATGTTTTATCACTGTGTTGTAGCTACTCAGATGTGTCTATGTAATGACTGGATGTTGCACAGATTTTGTTTGTTGTGTTTAAGCCCAGAAAGTACTCCTGTCCAAATTACTACCAGGTAAGGATAAGGAGTGGTTTGTTTCTCAACTCTTTTCACCAGACTATCAGCTTTGCATTTTAGCTTTGCAGTATCTACTTATCAAGTATAACACAGTTTCTTGGGTATTTAAATTTCAGTACGCACTAGTATACACACAATTATGTTTTGTGTGGGCATATTGCTTATATAACCATCTGCCATACATCTTGCAGCCAGCTCTTATACCATCTGCCATACATCTTGCAGCCAGCTATTATACCACCTACCAGACATCCTGCAGCCAGCTCTTATACCACCTACCAGACATCTTGCAGCCATTTATTATACCATCTACCAGACACCTTGCAACCATTTATTATACCATCTACCAGACACATTGCAACCATTTATTATACCATCTACCAGACATCTTGCAGCCAGCTATTATACCACCTACCAGACATCTTGCAGCCATTTATTATACCACCTACCAGACACCTTGCAACCATTTATTATACCACCTACCAGACATCTTGCAGCCAGCTATTATACCACCTACAAGACATGTTGCAGCCATTTATTATACCATCTACCAGACATCCTGCAACCATTTTTATTTATACCACCTACCAGACATCTTGCAGCCATTTATTATACCACCTACCAGACATCTTGCAGCCAGCTATTATACCACCTACCAGACATCTTGCAGCCAGCTATTATACCACCTATCAGACATCTTGCAGCCATTTATTATACCACCTACCAGACATCTTGCAGCCAGCTATTATACCACCTACCAGACATCTTGCAGCCAGCTATTATACCACCTACCAGACATCTTGCAGCCAATTATTATACCACCTACCAGACATCTTGCACCTAGCTATTATACCACCCACCAGACATCTTGCAGCAAGCTATTATACCACCTACCAGACATCTTGCAGCCAGCTATTTTACTATCTACCAGACATCTTGCAGCCAGCTCTTATACCACCTACCAGACATCTTGCAGCCAGTTATTATACCACCTACCAGACATCTTGCAGCCAGCTATTTTACTATCTACCAGACATCTTGCAGCCATTTATTATACCATCTACCAGACACCTTGCAACCATTTATTATACCATCTACCAGACACCTTGCAACCATTTATTATACCATCTACCAGTCATGTTGCAGCCATATATTATACCACCTACCAGACATCTTGCAGCCAACTATTATACCACCTACCAGACATCTTGCAGCCAGCTATTTTACTATCTACCAGACATCTTGCAGCCAGCTATTTTACTATCTACCAGACATCTTGCAGCCAGCTATTATACCACCTACCAGACATCTTGCAGCCAGCTCTTATACCACCTACCAGACATCTTGCAGCCAGCTATTATACCACCTACCAGACATCCTGCAGCCATTTATTTGTACCACCTACCAGACATCCTGCAGCCAGCTATTATACCACCTACCAGACATCTTGCAGCCAGCTATTATACCACCTACCAGACATCTTGCAGCCAGCTATTATGCCACCTACCAGACATCTTGCACCTAGCTATTATACCACCTACCAGACATCTTGCAGCCAGCTATTATACCACCTACCAGACATCTTGCAGCCAGCTATTTTACTATCTACCAGACATCTTGCAGCAAGCTCTTTTACCATCTAACAGACATCTTGCAACCATTTATTATACCACCTACCAGACATCTTGCAACCATTTATTATACCACCTACCAGACATGTTGCAGCCATTTAGTATACCACCTACCAGACATCCTGCAGCCATTTATTATACCATATATTATACCACCAGACATCCTGCAGCCATTTATTATACCATCTACCAGACATGTTGCAGCCATTTATTATACCACCTACCAGACATCTTGCAGCCATTTATTATACCACCTACCAGACATCTTGCAGCCATTTAGTATACCACCTACCAGACATCTTGCAGCCATTTATTATACCACCTACCAGACATCTTGCAGCCATTTATTACCACCTACCAGACATCTTGCAGACATTTATTTTACCACCTACCAGACATCTTGCAGCCATTTATTATACCATATATTATACCACCAGACATCCTGCAGCCATTTATTATACCATCTACCAGACATGTTGCAGCCATTTATTATACCACCTACCAGACATCTTGCAGCCATTTATTTTACCACCTACCAGACATCTTGCAGCCATTTATTATACCACCTACTAGACATTTTGCAGCCATTTATTATACCACCTACCAGACATCCTGCAGCCATTTATTATACCACCTACCAGACATCTTGCAGCCATTTATTATACCACCTTCCAGACATCTTGCAGCCATTTATTATACCACCTTCCAGACATCTTGCAGCCATTTATTATACCACCTACCAGACATCCTGCAGCCATTTATTGTACCACCTACTAGACATGTTGCAGCAATACATTATACCACCTACCAGACATCTTGCAGCCAGCTATTTTACTATCTACCAGACATCTTGCAGCCATTTATTATACCATCTACCAGACACCTTGCAACCATTTATTATACCATCTACGAGACACCTTGCAACCATTTATTATACCATCTACCAGTCATGTTGCAGCCATATATTATACCACCTACCAGACATGTTGCAGCCAACTATTATACCACCTACCAGACATCTTGCAGCCAGCTATTTTACTATCTACCAGACATCTTGCAGCCAGCTATTTTACTATCTACCAGACATCTTGCAGCCAGCTCTTATACCACCTACCAGACATCTTGCAGCCGGCTATTATACCACCTACCAGACATCCTGCAGCCATTTATTTGTACCACCTACCAGACATCCTGCAGCCAGCTATTATACCACCTACCAGACATCTTGCAGCCAGCTATTATACCACCTACCAGACATCTTGCAGCAAGCTATTTTACTATCTACCAGACATCTTGCAGCAAGCTCTTTTACCATCTACCAGACATCTTGCAACCATTTATTATACCATCTACCAGACACCTTGCAACCATTTATTATACCATCTACCAGACACATTGCAACCATTTATTATACCATCTACCAGACATCTTGCAGCCAGCTATTATACCACCTACCAGACATCTTGCAGCCAGCTATTATACCACCTACCAGACATCTTGCAGCCATTTATTATACCACCTACCAGACACCTTGCAACCATTTATTATACCACCTACCAGACATCTTGCAGCCAGCTATTATACCACCTACAAGACATGTTGCAGCCATTTATTATACCATCTACCAGACATCCTGCAACCATTTTTATTTATACCACCTACCAGACATCTTGCAGACATTTATTATACCACCTACCAGACATCTTGCAGCCAGCTATTATACCACCTACCAGACATCTTGCAGCCAGCTATTATACCACCTACCAGACATCTTGCAGCCAATTATTATACCACCTACCAGACATCTTGCACCTAGCTATTATACCACCCACCAGACATCTTGCAGCCAACTATTATACCACCTACCAGACATCTTGCAGCCAGCTATTTTACTATCTACCAGACATCTTGCAGCCAGCTCTTATACCACCTACCAGACATCTTGAAGCCAGTTATTATACCACCTACCAGACATCTTGCAGCCAGCTATTTTACTATCTACCAGACATCTTGCAGCCATTTATTATACCATCTACCAGACACCTTGCAACCATTTATTATACCATCTACCAGACATCTTGCAGCCAACTATTATACCACCTACCAGACATCTTGCAGCCAACTATTATACCACCTACCAGACATCTTGCAGCCAGCTATTTTACTATCTACCAGACATCTTGCAGCCAGCTATTTTACTATCTACCAGACATCTTGCAGCCAGCTCTTATACCACCTACCAGACATCTTGCAGCCAGCTATTATACCACCTACCAGACATCCTGCAGCCATTTATTTGTACCACCTACCAGACATCCTGCAGCCAGCTATTATACCACCTACCAGACATCTTGCAGCCAGCTATTATACCACCTACCAGACATCTTGCAGCCAGCTATTATGCCACCTACCAGACATCTTGCACCTAGCTATTATACCACCTACCAGACATCTTGCAGCCAGCTATTATACCACCTACCAGACATCTTGCAGCCAGCTATTTTACTATCTACCAGACATCTTGCAGCAAGCTCTTTTACCATCTACCAGACATCTTGCAACCATTTATTATACCACCTACCAGACATCTTGCAACCATTTATTATACCACCTACCAGACATGTTGCAGCCATTTAGTATACCACCTACCAGACATCCTGCAGCCATTTAGTATACCACCTACCAGACATCTTGCAGCCATTTATTATACCACCTACCAGACATCTTGCAACCATTTATTACCACCTACCAGACATCTTGCAGACATTTATTTTACCACCTACCAGACATCTTGCAGCCATTTATTATACCACCTACCAGACATCCTGCAGCCATTTATTATACCACCTACCAGACATCTTGCAGCCATTTATTATACCATATATTATACCACCAGACATCCTGCAGCCATTTATTATACCATCTACCAGACATGTTGCAGCCATTTATTATACCACCTACCAGACATCTTGCAGCCATTTATTATACCACCTACCACACATCTTGCAGCCATTTATTATACCACCTACTAGACACTTTGCAGCCATTTATTATACCACCTACCAGACATCTTGCAGCCATTTATTATACCACCTACCAGACATCTTGCAGCAATTTATTATACCACCTTCCAGACATCTTGCAGCCATTTATTATACCACCTTCCAGACATCTTGCAGCCATTTATTATACCACCTACCAGACATCCTGCAGCCATTTATTGTACCACCTACTAGACATGTTGCAGCAATACATTATACCACCTACCAGACATCTTGCAGCCAGCTATTTTACTATCTACCAGACATGTTGCAGCCATTTATTATACCATCTACCAGACACCTTGCAACCATTTATTATACCATC